CACGTTGTTGGACTAAATAATCCATGAAAGTTCAAACGGATGTTTAAATAATGTCTCAAAGCAAAAAAATTAAATAATTTAAATAAATATTGATGAAAACTAACAAACTTCTCGTAGAAAAAATGACGTTCCAGGAAATTATTAATTTAAAACTTATTTGTGACAGGCGCCTACTTGATTAATAATTAACTTAAATCCCAAAGACTATAGAAGATATTCCCATAGATAACAACTTATTAAGTTATCTCGTAGGGAATTTATTAATAAAATAAAATGGGTAGTCTATTATGGGGAACCCTGTATTTGACTTAAATCGTATGTAGGTACTGATTTAAGCCTTTTATTAATGACTTAAGTTTTTTCTATTTTGAAAAAATTTCCACAAATCATTTTGAAAATTACTTAAATTTTAAATCTTAAGTCAGTTTTAGAGAAATGACTTAATACCAAATGACTTAAGTCATTAAAACGATTTAAATCAAAAAAACGATTTAAGTTTTCTGAGATCTTGCAGCTATGCTTGAAAATAAACAACCGTTTTATTATTATATTATAATAACGATTTAAGTTTTCTGAGATCTTGCAGCTATAGCATATATGCTTGCAAATAAACAACCATTATATTATTATATTATTAGCAATAGCTATCAAAGCCCAGTTTTCTTGATAAAAGCATTGACATTGACATCATAAGTAAATTTTCTTATTCCCGCCAAATAATACAGATCATCCTAGACAAGCAATTAAAATTACAAAATCCTTCCGACAATGAAAGGCAAAAAGCTTTTTTCCTCCTAAACGTTCGGTGCAGGGGCTCTGTAGACCCCCTTCGAGGGTACAAAACACTGAAGTGGGGACTGTCACGAAATCGACAGTTCCGGATTATACTTTAATTGATTCGGGCACGCATAGAATGCCCGCTCGACCGTAAGCAGCCCGCATTGTGCGATATCCCCAATCATTATCTTTCCTTTCGCTGCTCCATGCTTCTTAATTGCACATCTTTTATTTACTGGCAGTTATGATGCAATTTATTTCGCGTGTCGAATCCTCCGCCACTTTTTCGAGAGTCATCATCGTCATGACAATCGTTTAAATTCCAGCCTTGTTGAACATGTGCAGCTTCGCTAACAAGTGGCAGTTTTTTCAGTTCAAACGATTCGATGTGGTTTTTGTTCATTATGTTTATTTACACAAATGAGGTGATGTTATGGACTTCTGAAGCAGTTACCAAACAGATAACCCCATCGAAAAACATTTAATCACATAAACAAAATGTATTATACTAGGATAAAATATGCGATAGATAGATAGATGATAACACTGGCAACAGGGGTTCGATATTCGCTGCGAGCGTCTGTTACAAAGCCGGAAATGATGAAGGGCGGCACGTGTTGATGATGAGGCAGACCGGAAGTAAAGTTTTGCGAGCAGGATTAAAGTAACAATAATATTTTTGATGCATACGTCCGTTCAGCGACAACTCATTCACTCCGTTTCTATTCTTCAGTTATTGTGATCTTTCGTTATATGCTTTATTATGATATTATCGATAAAAAAGTTGATGTTTTATTATGTTAATTGGATGTTATCTGTTTGATATGATAAATTTCATTATTACTCGTATAATTGAATTTGTACCCATTTAATAATCTCCTATTTATTGTTGCTACACTGGCATATAAAAATATCCAATTTCAAGTAAAGTTTAAAAATCCTAATATTATAAAGTAACGTTTGTTCAAAAACACAAAGGCCTACTTCAATGTCGGTTGCATTGTTGACAAAAGCGGACTGTACACAAAAACAATATTAAAGTCCAGACCACCCACAAAACAAACTTAGCAAGCTTAGACACGATATTGTAAGGTAAATGGGCGTAAAACTACGCACTGTCCATGGGCATTTAATTAATTTCATACTATATATTTCATTTCATTCTCACCACCTTGAAAGTGGAGTATTGTGATATTTATGTTGTGTTTGTAAAATGCTTAAAAATGCAAGTGGTGCCTGTGTGTGTCAAGTAAAATTAAAAAATTCGACCCTTTTTAACATTGTTGTTTGTTGTCATGTTGTTTAAGATTAAACTAAAGTTCATTTTTTTTATCTGGACTGCGGCAACGTTGCAAATTTAGGGTTTTGGTTGGTAAATACAGTTGTCAAGTTGGTCGCACTGATTAAAACAAACTACTATCGCTAACAAAAAAAACTCATACAGCTATATTGTGGCTGTGTGAATAAAACTTTTCTCGATTTTTATGTAAGAATGTTATATTCTCGCACGCAAAATCGTTGAAGAATGAAGCTCATTCTTAAACGATTTTTGGTAACATTTAGTTTTTAAGTATTGGTACCCCCAAAATGTCAAACTGTTTAATAACCTCAAATTCATTACTTTTAGGATTATTTATAATAGCTTTGTTTGTTATCCTGCACTAGTGCAACCTGAACTACACTTTTATTGAAAATGAAGCTTTTATTATTGTTTTGTAATATTAAGTTTGCTCCAACAATGCATTTTAATGCAAAATTTTAAGTTTAATGTAAAAAAGTGCAGTTCAGGTTGTACTTGTGCAGGATAACAAATATTGTCATTTTGTGTTGCCAACTGACATTTTGCGAGAAAAATCCCCCAACTAACAACGACCACAAAACAATTAAAAAAACCTAAATAAAAGTTAAAATCGAGAAAATAGTATAAATCACACGTTGCAGAAGGCTATTCTCGCACTCATTCGTTCGTCCACTCGCTCCTTCGTCGCTCGAGGCCAAATTTCGAATTCGTGCGAGAATATGTGGCCTTCTGCAACTTGTACTTTAATATACTATTCCGTCAATGTCAAGCTGACATCGAACTTTGTCACATCTATTATGACTTTTTTAACAACATTTTCAACCAAACAATGCAGACGAACTCTGGCAAGCCATTGAAGCCATTTGGAACGAGATAAAGCAAGACGGCGACTTCCAGGCTTTGCCGTTTGCGGGCAGTAATTGACAAAAACAGAGGGATGACGAAATATTTTTTTTTCAAACTTCAACCTAACTTTGTATTTAATTTTAGACCTTTCAAATGTGACGTATCATGTTAAAAGCCATAATTACCCCAACGAAATGATAGAAAATCAGGAACACTAGATTTTTGAGCTGTATGAGTTTTTTTTGTTAGCGATAGTATGTAGCTTGTTTTAATCTATTTGTGTATAAATTATTGTAGGTTACAATGTGCAGTTGTCAAGTTGAGTTGTCGAAATTCTTAGTTAAAAATGCAATTTGGCTTTGGTGGTGCTTGGATGAGTAAAATCATATAAAAAAGTAGTTAAATATAGGTTGCTTTACGGACCAGAAGAGAAAGTATTCCTAGCGGATAATAATCTTCGCTTTGAAAAGAATTTATATAAAAGAAATTACATTTTTTTGTGAACGTAAATGTTGTCCAATGGTGAATAATGTGAAAATAATGTGTGATGTAATATTTATAAAACCAAATTCGTTACTTTTTTACTCCAAGTACTACTTTTTCTTCCATTGTGGCATTTGGTATAATTTCATCAAAATGAAGTTTTGCTTTTATATTCGAATTCGTTGCTATTATTTTTGGCATAATTATCTTTTTATTTATATCTAATTGACAAGTAAATTATCAATAATAAATATTATTGTCAATTTGACAGTGTACAAGTATTTAATTAAATTTTTTAGCACAAGTACCATTTTTAAATACTAAAAATACTGGCATAAGCCACCAACCTAACAAAAAACACGAGTCCACTTTATTAGTACGCAGTGTTGCCATTTAAAAAAATATGTATCGCCTGTACTGCCCTACTATGGAGAAAGGCAGTAACTGCAAAAAAATTCAAAATGCGTATTCTTGTGCTATGCAGTCAAATAACTCATAAATTAAAAAAATCAGCATGCTTTTTATAAAAATGTAGTTTATGCTAATTTTCCAGAAATTTCTTGCTTAGCAGTTACTGCCTTTCTTCATAGTAGGGCAGTGTATCTTTTTAAATAACGAAGATAATTTTTTAGTATTGCACAATTTTATTGAGCTACATATCATAGGTATCGGACATTTTTATTTAAGTTATTTAATTTTTTTGTAGTAAAATACATTTAAATGTATCTAAATTTTTCAGAATTTGTAGTAAAATTAAATGCATCAAATTGAATATTTTCTTATACAGCGTTGCCATGGCTTCTAAAAACAAATTTACAAACTATACTCAAATAAATAATAATAATAATTAATAAATATTTATTTGAGAAGTTTTTATTTATAATAAATACAGAAAATTTCTTGTGAATCAATTTTATTTACTAACAATATATTCTGAAATTTAATTTATTTTTTATAAAAAAAATATTTATTTGGGTGGAATTTATTTGTTATTAATATAGGTACTAAGTTTGTGTCAAATAAAATCATTTATTTATTTAATGTTTATTCGTATTTATTTCACAGTTTATTAATAATAAATATTGCTTATTAATAGTTGCCAAATTTTAATTTCGCAAATATAGATTATTATAAATAAGGCACATTTTCTAACTATTAAATCTGTGTTGTTTGTAAGAAATATGATATATTAATAATTAACAAATAAAATATTGTAACGCGTCATTTTACCTCGGACCATTCCCTCCACTTTAAAATGCTACGTAGTGGGTGCTTTACATCTTTGCTGATACGGGTGGTGCTGGTTTGTGCTTGATTGTGTAAGTACATAATAATATTTTTCTATGGTGTTGAATGCTAACAAAATTTCATCAAATTTTTCAATAACAAATATTTCAATAACAAATATAACAAATATATTTTTAATAACAAGTACCTATATTTTTCGTCAGAACTTTTAATAATTTATAAAATAATTAATATTAATTATTACCATTTTCATAAATAAACTATTTAGGTAAGTATACTTCCTAAGAAAGACAAAATACTTTTAAACTCTTGCTTGCCATAAATCCAATTCATACGTAGGTATTACCCATTTGGTTTAGGGAATGCTGCTTTATATTTTCTAAAATTCCCGGGTATTGATGGAAACACCAAATAAAATCGGTTTTTGTCAAAACGTAAAGTTTACAAGTAGTTGCAGCTACAATGGTGGCTTTACGAGGTTGGTCCAGGATAATTCCCAACTCTCCAAAGTTGGATCCATCATCCAGATGACATATCTCAATCCCTTCTTCTGAATAAACAGCTACTGTGCCCGTGTATATGAAGTACATGTTGAGGGCATGTTTTTGGCCGCACCTAATCACCACTTCATTGGGAAAATATATTTGTAACTTTAGCTTGTTCATTAAATTGTTCACGCATTGTTTGGGCATAATATGAAGAAAGTGAACATTCGACATAAGGTTCTTGACGAAGTTCTCCTTAATTTCGATGTTCAAATTGGTGGATAGAATCGCCTGTAGAAAACTTTGTTTTTGGAGGGTCCCGTAAATTTTTTGATCGAAATAATTAAACACATTTTTCTTGATTGAGGGTGGAACTCCTTTTATGGTCATGTACTGATCAAGTTCCGAAGTGAATCGCTGATGTCGTTGATTATCACACGTTAAAATTTTGATCACTTTCAAAATTGAAATCAAAACAAATATTTGTAACATAAAACCGCACCATAACCATAAATTGTAAACTACCAATTCAACATTGCTGGAGTCTAAACCAAAGTTAACATCAACGAAGAACAAAATTTTGATGGAGTAGCCCAGGGTTGCTAATATCAAGTATGTGGGATTATTAGAAACCTCTTCGTCTACCCATGTGGCCATATGTTCTTTAATTATAAAATGCACACTAACAGAAACATAGAAAATAATTATCATTAATGCATACAAAATTTTTGCAATCATTTCTATATAGTTAGGAAATAACAACCATTCACAAACTGTTTTTATGTATTTGAAGAACGTTGGTAACCTTAGCAATGGGAGAAAGTAAAAAGTATAAATTACATATAACCGGTAGAAAAACTGCTTGTCTACATTATACAGGGTGTTGGTTAAATCGATATAATAATCCACCATGCTTAGTACTACTGGGCTTATCTCAAATATGAAATAGGTTAGCAAGTATTTCTTGCAAATTTTCAATAATGAGAGAACCACGTTGCTGTTCTTGTTGTCGTAATACCCACAAAAAAAGTTCCAAAAGATGTATACCAAGTAACAAATACGTGATATAAAAAAAAATGACGCATAATTCTCTATTGATCTCGAAAGCAGTAACGGTATCATTAGTAATCGCCAGGTGTATATCCCCATCATGTATAGGTGCATAATTAAGTTTGCCAAGCTGAAACAATATTGCTACTATGACATATGTTCTAATAAAAAATGCATTACCTACCTGAATGGATGAACTGTGTAAAAATAATTAGAAGCATGTCTTCCTCGTTCGTTTTCTAGAGCTGTGGTGGATGGAAAGTACTTCTGAGCTTCAGGATGTTTTTTGTATACCAAAAATATTCCTTTTATCTTCCTTCTGAAATTAATGCAACATCCTGTTTGGATGTAACTGTTTATCGCTGGTTCTAACGGTTCCACTTTGCATTCAGAATGGGTCAAATAATCCATTTTGACGTTTGTGACAACCATAACAATGTAGATAAAACCCTTAACAACTAATATGTAAATAATTGTTTAAAAGAGAGGAAAGCAACAAGTTTTTAGACATATTTTCGTTTAGTTTAACTTTTGATAAAGTAGACAGTAACGAGTTATCGAACACTTAACATTAATACTGTAAAAACAAGAGTTCTATAAATAGTTACCTTAAAGTCAAATCATTAGATGGCACTGTATACAATTATAAATATCTCAGTCGGTAATAATATAGAACTACTTTATTTTGGGTCCAATATAGGACAAAAAAGTTCGCACGTTACTTTGATGGTAATATTTTTGTTTTATTGTTAAGATCAGGGCTGTGTTTAAATTACCATAACAAATATTTCTAAAAAGTGTACAGATCAGTGTGTGGTATAAATGTATTCCTCATGGTTTAAACATTGTCACTTTATTGCGTTTTAATTTTAATTCTGAAAACAAACAGTAAAATGGCCAGTGTCAAATTACTGGTTGGTAAAAAATGTAAATTTCTATTATTAGACATATGTCCAATATCATACTCTATTTGTATCCCGGATATTTACCAGCCAAGTCTTATGTAAAATTGTCCCCTGAATCCAAAAAGACCGTCAAAAACTATAAAAGTTTTTGAGATATAGTCAATTCCAAATTATATGTAAAATTGATTATATTTGAAAAACTGTTCTACTTTTATAACTTTTGATGACATTTTCAGATTAAGCGAATAATATTTATAGGAATTGACTGCTTAATGTCCTGAATACAAATTGCTGTTGACGAAAATTATTAGTGGCTGCTTTTTCGCTATGACATATTTGACTAACTCATTTTTAGAGAGTAAGTAATATAGTGATTTCTTCGTCACAGGACATCTTGCAGAATAACAGTGATTTAAATACAGTGCATGATAGAGAACATAAAAAAGTAATGGCAACAAAATTAATAAATTCGAAAAATACATTTAACATACCACCTGAAAAAATATTAGATATTTATAAATCATCCTGTTCCGGCCTAAACATTATAAATGTTTCACAAACTAGAGATACCTCACTGATATTTGCAACAAACTATTTCAGAAGTCAGACCAAGGAATTAGTAGTTACGTTCAGAATCCAGAAAAGGGATGAGGAATCCGAGAAAGAAATATATGAATTATATGATATTTACAAAAACGAAATAAAAAAAATTACCTAAAACAGCAATTTATCTTTAAAAAATATTTAACAAATTATGTTATTTAATGTAAAGTTCTTGTTTATGTTTTTATAAAACTATTATTAAAAATTGAAATATTCTTATTTTTAAGTAAACGTAAATAAAGTTTAAACAAACAAACCTTTTTGGGTAAATTAACCACGGCTTTGCTTAATTTGGAAATATTTTTGTAACCAACAAGTTATATTTTACTAAATATATTATAACTCGCTGTTAAGCGCATAGAAAAATTAGTCTCAATGCAGCTTTATATATAGGTTGTGAGTTTTGTGTGATAATGGAGCCTAAAATAAATAATTTTTAAAAATATACTTGGGTAGTTTAATTCTTGAGTTACGTTAGTGTGTGTATTTTATCTATGTATGGTGAATTATTGTGTTTTTAATTTTAAATGTTATTCAGTGTGAATTATTATAATAATAATAATAATAATAATAAATTTATTGTACCAAAAATTTACAGATAATTTTGTTTCTTACATGTTTTTCAATAAGGTATTTAATTGCACCTAATTTCCAAAGAAAATTGTACTGTGCCTTAATTTTGAAAATGTATTGTTATAATTGTACACATATAAATAAAAATAAAAATAAAAATATTCTAACTAAACTAACACTAAGAACAAAAGTAAGAGTTTTTTCTTTTCTTTCCCTGTTAACTATCAAATCTATTTCTATTGTGTTTTCAGGAGGATTACTTAAAAAATGATTTTAAATTTTGTTGCGTTTTGAACTATGTATAAACATTTTTTTTTAAATAGAGAGAAGTTGTTTATGTTTCGTATATCCTGAGGAATAGAGTTAAATATTTTTGGACCAGTTACATTAAGGGACTTCATGTATAGTGTGGTAGTAGCAAAGGGGACAGTTAATTGTTGTTGGATTTTTTGTCGTGTCACCCTATCATGTGATAAAACATGTCTAAATTTTCTTTTTTTGTAAAAAAATTTTGCAGCGTTAAAAATATAAAGGTTAAATAAATTTAGGATATTACTTTCTTGATAAAGATGTTTAGTGGAAAATCGTTTATTTTTAGATAATATAACTTTTAGAATCCAGTTTTGAGTAGTTTTAAGTAGTTTTAAATGGGATTCATAAGTTGATCCCCATACGATAATGCCATACGATAGAACACACTCAACCAACGCTTTGTATACAACCTTTAACAGTCCAACAGACATGAATTCTCGCAGTTTGTAAAATGTAAAAACGAGTTTTCTTATTTTTTTTGTTAGATAGTCTGCATGAACTTCCCATCTTAAGGTATCACTTATCATTAGGCCCAAATATTGTATGTTTGAAACTCTTTCAATGTATCTTAAGGATGTACAATTATTAAAATCGCATTTTGAGTGTAATTTAATTTTATATATAACAGTTAAATTAAAGTGCGTGGTCTTGTGCTTAACATCCCTATAACGATTTTGGGAATGGAGAAGAATGGTCGTGTCCACCATTCACAAACGACAACAAACCTGGCAGAGATCTCATTACAGATAGGCCGATAGATAAGCTCGCAAAGGCAATACCGATTCAATATACAAACAGTGGAAATTGTGCCGATGTGCTGTGGGGAAATTACACCGCAATCCTAAAATCCGCCTACACGTTTATGTCCCTTATCTGATTTGCCCGAAATTGATTTAACATGCTGATCTCACTCATAACTCTATTTACTTCGACTGCTCGATCTCTTCGCCATGGAACTGTTCGTTGGTGAACGAGTTCATTCAATTTCAATTTCGCAGCGGTTTTTATCGACAGATGCTGTCTGATTTTGCGATTTGATATCACTTTTTCGAAAATCTTAATATATACAGGGCTTAATAAAAACTGCTGATTCCACCTGTGTGACGTACCCCCGTGCACTACAATAATATATATGAATCGACTAATTTCAAAAGCGGCCATCTCCTTTGAAGAATATTTTAAGTAAACGTCAAAAAACATTCTAAACAGTAATGGGTAAAAAATAAATATATTTTGAAAAACTTGTTCATATGGTAACTAAAAATATTTTTTCTACAAAATAAGTAACCAGATTTAAGTTTTAATTAAAAAAACATATATTTCAAAAGGGAAATGGGCATTTAAGTACATCAATGGAGATGGCCTTTATTAAAACTAACATAAAACTTTAATGAATTATTTTCCTTGCAAATAGCCGTTTTTGTTGGGATATAATTTTGAACTAATATACTACGTAATATTTCGATTTTATTAGTGTAAATATCTCATTTAAAAATTGGAGATGACCGCTTTTGAAATTAGACGATTCATATACTTAATAAATAATCTTAATCAAATCAAAAACACCCGTTCTACATGGAAAGAAATGTTATGATAAAGTAAATCAAATTCATTTATTAATTATTAATTAAGAAAAGCAAAATTTATCCAAAATGAATTAGTTTAATCTAAAATAGAATAAATCTGACAAATTTAAGTTCTTTATGATAAATATGTACATTTCGCAAATGATTAATTTCATCAAATTAAAATTAACATCCTTAGATAGACATTACCGTTTAAGTGCTAAATTGAATACATTTTTCCAGAAACAGCAAAGTTAAGATTACTCACAGAAAAAGTTTTCTTAACCCAATCAAACATTAAGATTGGCTTTATGTAACGTTAAGCTTAATTTTCAAAGAAAAGATAGATATGATCAACTCTTGGATTTTATTATTATATTCCTATTTTGATTAATTTTATCAATTATTATTTAAATAAAAACTAAATGGATTTATCTTTATTTTTACTACTCTCTAAAAGTGAAACAGTGAAATTTTAACTTCTTCAAATTAGTGTTTTTTATTATCACTACTTTTCCGGAACTCTCGACATAAAATAGTGAAATTTTAAGTATTTTGAACTAAACCTATTTCACTAATTTGTACAGTGAAGAAATCGCTACATGATAAAGTGAGTATTTACTAATTGCTAGTGGTATACTTATCACTGCGGCAAATAGTTAATATGCACTGTCAATCAGTGAAAATCCACTGTTTCATTTTTAGAGAGTAGTATTAGTAAGTAGTATCAAAAGTTGGATAGAATTAGTTTTATATTTTATTAATGTTAGTACACATTTTATAGGTCTTTTTCTAAAATTCAGTAAATGTTTCTAATAATTTCATCTATACATGATTATTTTAATTTAAACAAATTCCAAATACATTTGGAATAAAAACAATAAAATAATTGCTTAATATCTATACATGTTTAAATTAAAATAATCCTGTCTAGATTGAATTATTATAAAAATTTACTGAATTTTAGAAAAAGACCTATGAATGTGTAGGGGAGACCGGGGTATGTTGAAACAGATTTTACATGCTGCAACAGATTTCACTGATTTTTTTTTATTTAAATATATGTAATGAAAAACATTGTTATAAATTTATAAAAACATTAAGTGGTATTTGTGTATCACGCCTAAAATTATTTTGTACTTCTATAAAGTAAAAAAAAATCACAACAAAAAATATTTATTCTTAATTTTTAAGTGTTGCAATATGCCCCACGGCAAGGGCAACTTGCAACAGTTCGGGGGCAAGTTGCAACGGACTATTCAGACTCGTCAGAATACTCAGAAAGGCAATTCAAACACACGTAAAATGGATCACGATTCGCACATTTTCCATGAGCCCACTTATTACACTTAGTGCACTGCAGCCAGTCCTCGCGTTCATTGTCTTTGTCATACTTTTCATCACAAACCAAGCAAAAAGTATCGTCCTCTTCGGAAGAACTTTCCGAAGTTAC